AGTCGAGATATATTCCGATATATATTTGTTTACGAATTACGAGTCTATACAGACTTATTAAGGGAATATGTTGTGTCGTTTGAACTCTTATTAATAACTCTTAAAGGAAAAACGTGTGAGTTACCATTCTATTAGACACTTTCTATGTTCTCATTTACTTGTCAAATTCCCTCCTTAATTTAATTTTTTAGAAATTTTTCTATGTATCTTTCAAGTCTTTTCTTTAATAAAATCTTACGCCTTTTAACTAGGACATCGAGTACTAAAATTGGGCTTAATCACATGCTAGCATCCTGAAAAGAAAACAATTAGGAAATTAGGGGACTGACTGCATTTTTTCTTGAAATAAACCCTTATTTTTATCTGATTTATTAAATCTTAACCATGAATATACTTTCTTATGATTTACTCAGTTCCTCTGGCAGTCTCTCGGCTTCGTCTGATCGATGTTTAACTTCCGCTCATTCTGGGGTACCTCTGACTTATTGCTACGAGGGTTTTGTCGGTCGTCATTTTCGACCTAGCTCGACAACCGGGCTCGTCACAGGCTTACTTCCAACAAATCTTATGGCTTCGGGCATTAAATCAGGTTCTGTTTCTCCTTTCTCCTGGCCCGTCCCAGGAAGCGAGCTTGGCCAACGATGGCTGTCAGAACTGCCTGTAGGGGCTGGTAATCAGGTATGTGCCGACTGTAACAGACCAGAAGCCAGCTGGGCCAGTTGTAATCTTGGCATAACTCTCTGTGTTGATTGCGCTGGCGCGCATCGCAGCCTTGGGGTGCATATTTCCAAGGTGACTTATAGTGCATACTCTTGTCTCCTTACTTTTTTAATTAAAATATTAAACTGTTTGATGGTGTTTTTGAAACTATTTGTTTAGATTGAATTTTCACAGAATTATTCTGGATGAGGTTTGAAAGAATAGCTTCATAAAGTATCTATGATATAGATCCTTATTAATCAATGCCATTTGAGTTAGATCATTAAATTTTCTAAACCTAAGATTCATATCTTTATTATTACCATCGAATTACTTTATATCTCTTTTCCATTGTACAACGATAGATGTGTCTCTAGGTTCTCTTGTCATACATTTAGTAACCTAGAGGAATATATTTATCCTTAGCGTCATTATTCGTGTTGATATGGCCTCTGATCATTCACGCATGACTTTTGCATTCTTACGGATATCTATTCTTACATCTGGCTTGTTAAACAAAACAATTAATTCGAGATATACTGTAGGCCTCGAAGCCTACTTATGCCTGAAGAAACAACAAAATTATGTTTATGAATATAAGGGAACTAAAGAAGGCAATCATTGAGATTCACGGTTTATGCTCTGTCTTAGTAGCAGCCATGATATCCTTGTTATTGCATTTTCGCGATTGGTTCTTATGAATTACTCCACAAGTTTGACGAATAAGGGCACTAAGGCCCAGGTAAAGTAGTTATCTAACTAGATAGTACTAAGAATTATAAGATGTTTTAAGTTTTTCTAAATTTACTATCAAGTTCATCTGATATTTAATTCCAACATATGCTATGAGTAATCTTTGTTAAAGATGATTATGCTCTTAAAATTCCATTTTAGTGTTAAATCTATTATTGCATGCTGAGGCAATCGTTGTGACCTGCTATATATAAATGGTTCATGAGATAGGTAATGTATAAGTACATAAATGGCATAAATGTTTATCTCTCCCTTCATTGGTTGATCTTAAGTTTAGGTAGATTATGTGTGCTAATGCCTCATGCATAGGATTTCCAGCATGCAAATATTTTTCTATATTAAGGCAAAGTAACTGAAATTGATGTTGGAGCACTTTTCTTTTCGTTTGAAGAGGCGAATGGAAGGGACTCGTAATTTGACCTCATTGGCCCCTTTGAGCTGCATTTGTAGGTTTATGTACATAGGTCTTCGGCGCACCGCCCTGCGACTGCTGAGCTTTCGTCCGTGATGTTACTGGCATTGTCAGAACAGGATATTATGCTTTACGATAATCCACCGAGCACAAAGGCAAGAAAGGTCCAAAGGAAATCCGCCTGTAGTTTCCAATGAGCTCAATTTAAGATTACTTCCACCCACCTCTTTAAACCATATGAAAGGTACTCCAACATTAATATATTAAAGGATTATCCGAAAACTAGCTTTTCTGCATACCAACTTAGCTAAAATTTTATCTAACAAGGCATTATTGACACGTATTGATGAAAGTAACATCTTGGGAATGCTGTATACTAAATACATCTTTGATAATCTACTGTTGCATTCAATATTTTGTATTGTTAAAATTTTATAGAAATCGAATTCGGATTAACTCCGGTTGTTCGCTTGCCATTAAATGCACTATCTGGTGTAAGCAAGAGTTAGGGCTACTTCAATTATGCGGTGTTTTGCTAGTTAAGCTGTCGCATTCCGTACACATTTTTGTGGTTCATAGTTTTATTTGTGCCATTGATACATGTAGAGTTAAAGGCAGACAGGTTTATTTCTATCCATTTTTCACATGTAAGTAGAGTTTCATCATTGGGGAGAAATTCTACTACCAGTCATTCGTTACCTTAAACGAAATAGGGTGAATACATGTCAATATTTTCACCTAGTTTTGAACCTACGCTTACCCTCTTACTTTTATGTAACTTTTTAATCCATAGGAGTGTAATTTATTAGCCACACTTAATTTCGCGAGTTAGATATGATTAAGCATTTG